CGCGTCGCGCACCTGAAAATGGTGGGTGAGTCTCCCAGCGAGGACTGCTGCATACACAAGGACTCGAACTCGAAACCTTATTTAAGTTAGAACAAGCCGCTTACCACTTGATTCAACCGCTCGTTGGTAAAGCACGAGCTGGTTGCCAATAAGAAAGTTGTTTATACCAATTACTTGGTAAGGTTAAAGAGTACTTTATAGAGCTTAATGTAGAGAAATAAACAAATCGAAAAGAGAAAAAAGGATTTTCCTCAACAAAAAAAAAAAAGAAAAAAAAAAGAAGAGAAAAACCATTATACAAAAATAATCTCAAATATTTAAAGTTTAATTTAGCAATAATTTAAGTTATATGGTCTAATATAACAATTGAATTAAGGGCAAGAGGGAAGATAGCTTTTTACTCTTTCTGGCACCCAAAATTTATGGAAAAAAGATTTGGATTTTGCATGTTTATTCAGCAGTGTTTCTATGTTTTTTAAACCCGTGTTTGAAGGGCCGAAAAAAAAAAAAACCGTGTTTGATCTTTTGGTAGAAGCTCTCATGAGTAAAATATGTATAATTATGTTGTGAGGTAAGTATTTTTTTTGTAATTTAAAGTATTAAATTTGATTTATAAAAAAAATATACTTATCTAATTTTTTGCTACTGTAAAATCTATTTACTACTTTTTAAAACTGTAGCTCGTGGAATATTATCGAATTCTTCTCTTTGATTTTTATTGAAATGTCGCATGGTGACAAACGCTTTTATCCTATTTTTGCCACTTCTTAATCTTTATCTTCATCAATCTCTTATCTTTTGGGGAACAATTTATTATTTTATTGTATTATTTTAGTCTGATGCCTAATTAAACATTATTTTTGTGACTTATTGGACCTCTTGCGTCCTATTTTCACTTTCATTAAGAACAACACGAGTGATAGCACAAGTGGTGGTGGCAGTAGTCAATCAGGTTTCACATTTTTCTTTGCGTACTTTTTATTTTATTTTATTTTATTACTGAATTATTGCGTTCTTTCACTTAAACATCATCTTTATACTTTTCTGAAAAATTGACAAGCAATCATTGAGAATATACAACTCACACATTATCTTTTACCCAATTTTGGCTTTCACTAAGATAAGCACAAGTGGTGGTGGCAGTAATCATTCAGCTTGCAGACCTTTCCTTGTCTACTTTTTATTTTTTGTTTTATTATTGAATTATTGCCTTTATTTTATTATTGAATTATTACGTTCTTTCACTTAAACATCATTGTTATACTTTTTCAAAAAATTAGCAAGCAATTTCATCGAGACTATATAATTCATACATTATTTTTTTTATTGACCTCTTGATAATTCCAAATTTTGACACTTGACTTAAAAAGTTAATTAATTACAAATTTCAAAAAAGGATGCGCCTCCTAGTGTTAGGTAATGAATTCAAATTTTTCTCAAAAAATTAATACATGAATAATGAGAATAGACTAAAGAGAAGGACAAGGTGAAACCAATATGCCTTTCTTCACTTAGACTTGGTTTATAGTCAATATCTGTACAGCAAACAGTTTGATGGGTACCAAAGAGGAAGAGAAAAATCAGAGCTGCCCGATGTCAACAAAATAATACATTCAGATGTCTCTCTTTTTTTTAGAATTGTTCGTTCACAGTCACGTGGTAGAACCGTAGAATAGAATAGAGTGAAATCGATTGATGATCTTGCATCGGAGAAGAACATCTTTCTAAAAGTGGGTCCTCAGCTTGGGTGAATGGTTTATAGTGGGAATACTAAAATTGACAAATTAACCTCTAAATATACGTTTGGTCTCAAAAACATACGAAGTTAAGTTTAATTTGTGTATGATGTATTCTTTTCCAAGTATCATCATGAATTGGAGTAGTTGGTTGCTATGGTAGAAATACAAATTCACAATGATGGATTAATAACATTGAATTGGAGAAGCAAATTTCGAAACTGTAAATAACAAATATCATTTAGTTCACTCGTCTATAAATATATAATTAACAGGGATTGATTTTTCATTCCCTCATCACTTATTACCATCTTACTAATAATTAATTTATTGAGATTTATGGCACCTCTAATTAATCTTAATATACTAATACTTCATCTAACTTTTTGAAAATGCATCTTACATATTTTAACGAGGAAAAAAGGGTTGATGATTTTTTTTTTAAATTCTTGAATGGGGTATAATTTGCACGTATAATTCAGGCACATGTCAATTAGTCAACAAATCAAAATTTCAAATAAATTAATAATTCTATCAAATTAATCATAAATTACAAAATAATTAGTAGTTAGGATCAACTTTAACTCAAATCAATAATGTCAGTATCTAAAAGGTTTGAAAGGAGAATAATAGTATTCTCTAGAGTAGAGTGAGCATAGATGTTATGTGATTTATTTAATTTCTGGAGGTAATAATTATCATTTAGCAGCCTTACATAGTATTAATATTTTATTTTCTCAAAAATATATTATAAAATATAGATTGAAACAAACTATATAATATAAATTATATAGTGCAATACAATAAGCATGCATATATAAAATTGATTATCATTTAATAATTATATAAATTGAATATTCTTGTATTTGTATAAATAAAATAATTATTTAAAAAAATTATAAAATACAAATAAGTTCCTGTTAATAAAGTTTATTTTTATTTAATAATTTTATTTTTAAAGTTAAAACTACCATGGAGCTAACTCTGGTTGCGTTGAAAGCTTTTCATTTCTTATCTCTCCAAAGCCATAATAATTGAATTTAGCCTTGGATGTAAATTCAAAATTATTCAACCATAAAAATTCTTCCTTCTCCCTGGATAAA